GGATGCTGGAGGGATGCTGGGCCTTGTGCATGCTAAGCAGGTGCACTACCACTCAGCTATATCCCCAGTCCCCAAGGAGGATTCTAATCAGGGGAATGGCATGCTCTGACTTGGACTTTGCATTTAACAAACTTGAAGTGACAGGAACAGAAGGAGGGAGAACAGTTATGAGATTGTTGCCATCCTCAAGAGAGAAGGGACAGTGCCTTGAACCAGCATGAGAACGATGGGGTTTGTGCATAATTAAAGTGGGGCTGGAGCGGGTGATGTGGCACATACCTGTTTTCCCGGGTACTTGGGAAAGCTGAGGCCAGGGAATCACTAGTTCAAGGCCAGCCTAGGTGACAGTGTGAGACCATCTCAAAGAATAAAAAGGTGGGAATGGTGGCCCATGCCTGTAAACCCAGCAACTTGGAAGGCTGAGGCAGGAGGAGGGAAAGTTTGAGACTAGCCTCAGCATGTTAGCAAGGCACCCAGCAACTTAGTGAGACCCTGTCTCAAAATAAAAATAAAAAGAGCTGGGGATGTAGCTCAGTGGTAGAGTGCCCCTGGGTTTGATCCAAAGAAAGTAGAGCCAAGACTTGGTGGATTTGACTAGCAGTGGAAAGATTTGGAAGGTGGAGTAGGGAAACACAAAAGGGAAACAAGATGGCACTGGGGAATATGGCTCAGTAGTATACAGCATTTGACTTTCATATATGAGGCTGTGGATTTGATCCCCAGCACCTCGAAAAGAAAAAGAGAAACTAGGGATGAATCTGAGGTTTTTGATCTGAGCAACTGGATGAGTAATGGTGTTATTGACTACAAGGGGAAAGATGTGATATTTTGGAGGGAGGGAATAATGAATCAAAACTACTATTTTATTTATTTTGGTACTCGGGATTTAACCCAGAGGTGTTTTTATCACTGAGCCACATCCTCGACCAATTAGCCACATCCCCAGCCCTATTTTGTATTTCATTTAGAGACAGGGTCTCACTGAGTTGTTTAATGCCTCGCTTTTGCAGAGGCTGGCTTTGAACTCCTGATCCTCTTGCCTCAGCCTCCAGACCCCCTGGGATGACAGGCATGAGCCACCATGCCCAACCCCCACTTTTTTTTGATCCAACTTGTGATCCTCTTGTCTCAGCCTCCTGAGTTGCTGGGATTTTTGTGTACCACAGCAACTGTCAAGAGTACTATTTTATACACGCCAACTTTTTTTTTTTTTAGTTGTAGATGGACACAATGCCTTTATTTTATCTATTTATTTGTATGTGGTGCTGAGGATTGAACCCAGTGCCTCACATGTGCTAGGCAAGCACTCTACCACTGAGCTACAACCCCAACCCCACAAACATTCCAACTTTGTGAAGCCCATTAGACACATTAAGTGGAGATGCCAAAATGTCAATATCCAGCACGGTAGGGAGGTCAAGGTGAGATATAAAAATGTGGAAGTTGTACTGAAAGCCATGCCATGAAATGAGATTAATAAGTATAGCTGGGGAACAAAAGACAACCCAGTGGACCATCAGGGCTCAGAAGAGGACCCAGCTCAAGGGATTTAGAGCAATACCCTGGAAGCAGAAGGTGAGGAACGGGGTATTTCTAGAAGAGAATGTCATTCATGTTGAATATGACTGGGAGATAGAGTCTGAAAGGGCCCATCAGATTTGGCTGGAGCAATTTTGGTTACTGATGGGTAGAGGTTTGGGAATAAGGGGATGGACATAGGCCATGGTGAATGAGTGGTAAAGAAGTCAGTGTAGACCATTATGCTGTGAGCAGAGCCCAGAAATTCAAAGATATTGGAGGATGTGAAGGTCAAACAAACTTTTTCCTGCTCTGGTGGGAGTTGAACCCTGGGTTTCACACATGCTAACTAGGTAAGTGCTCCTACCACTGAGCTACATCCCCTGTCCCTATTCTTTTGATACCAGATCTTTATATGGTGATAAGAATCATCCAGAAAAAGAAAGAAAGAAAGAAAGAAAGAAAGAAATATTGATTAATGGTTGAAAAGAGAAAGGGGACAATTGCTTGGAATGAAACTATCAAATAGTGAGGTCTGGGTTCAGAGCACACCTGTAGGGGTTTCCTGACAAAGGTGAGAATTAGGAGGCAATAACACTCTTGAGAGCTGGTGATTAGAATAGGAAAAAACCCTGCCTGTTCCTGCTGTTTCTGAAGTGTAAAGGGTACTCATAAGAACGGGGCCTGCGGGGAGCTATGGGATCCTGAGGAGTGAAAAGCCACCCTCCAAAAATGGGGAAGTTTGTAGGAGTATTAGTGCTACGGGTGTAGGAAAATGGGTACCCTTCATTACTGCTGATGGGAGTGCAAGCTGTCCCACTTTAGATGGCAATTTGGCAATATCTACTGAGCACTTAGCTCTGCGGGTAGCCTACAACCTAGAATTGTCATGCCTTTCTCTAGTTGTGCCCTAAAGAAGTCCTTACATAGATAGGTGCAAGCAACAGACATTGGCCAGAGGGCAAAGCTTTGAAAATAATCTATATAGCTAGGCATGATGATGCAGACCTGTAATTCTAGCAGCTCAGGAGGCTGAGGCAGGAAGATCCTGAGTTCAAAGCCAGCCTCAGCAAAAGTGCACTAAGCAACTCAGTGAAACCCTGTCTTTAAATAAAATACAAAATAGGGCTGGGGATGTGGCTCAGTGGTCAAGTGCCACTGAGTTCAGTACCACCCGCCCACATACACACAAAAAAAAGCAAGAAAGAAATCTACATGTCATCAATAGAGTAGCTTCTTTAAAAAAAGAAAACCTAGAATAGCTTGGGTGAGGTGGTGCTTATTTGTAATCCTAGCTATTTGGGAGCCTGAGGTGGGAGGACCACCAAAGCCAGCCAGGGCAATTTAGAGATAGTCTGTCTCAAAATTTATAAAAGGATTAGGGATGTAGTCAGTTCATTGATAGAGTGACCGTAGGTTCCCCAGGCCTTGGGAATTTGGGGAGGGAGTCCAAGTTTACAACTTAAAAACCTAGGAATATCCACATTAAGTACTGTAGTGTAGAAATTTTTAAAAACAAAAGATAGGGCTGGGGAGGTGGCTCAAGCGGTGTAGCACGCTTGCCTGGCATGCGTGCGGCCCGGGGTTCGATCCTCAGCACCACATACAAAGAAAGATGTTGTGTCCCCTGAAAACTAAAAAGTAAATGTTAAAAAAAAAAAAAGTACATGTACCCAAACTGTCAAAACCTTCTAAGATAAAATTGGCAAAAAGCAAGTGACAAAAATTACATACAGTGCAATGCAATTTACATAAAAGAAGTCCCCATGTGCTAAAAATATGCTGTCTTTAATTTGCAGTCATCTCTGTATGAATATTTTTGGGTGATATGATAAAATGAATAAAACCTTTAAAAATATGCTGTCTTCTGGAAGTATATAGATATGAATATAAATACAAAGAAAGAGGGCTAGAAAGATGTTGCCAAACCAATTGATATTATGTTTCTGATATTAGGATATTTGGAAAGTGGAATTTTATCTTATTCATAGCACCCATAAGAGAATCCACTTGTTTAATTTATATAAATTAAAAAAAAAATAATGAGACAATCCTGGGCTGACATCCAAGCTTTGGAGAAGGAGGTCCCAGGGTACATGGAGACGAGGAGTGGCAAGAACAGGGCATCTGCTAAAGGGACTTGGTAGAGAGGGTAAAGGAAAATGGGAATAGAGCACAAAGCAGGGTGGGTTGGGGGTGGGGGTTGGGTTAGTCTCCTGTGTCTGGAATATTTAAAACACCTTTCAAGGGCTGGGGTTGTGGCTCAATGGTAGAGCACTTGCCTAGCAAGTGTGAGGCACTGGGTTCCATTCTCAGCACCACATATAAATAAATGGATAAAATAAAGTTCCATTAACATAAAAAAATTAAAAAAAAAAAAAAAAAAAAAAAAAACACCTTTCAAACATTCCGGAATCAGTGGAACTGGCAATAGTCAAATAGTCAGCAAAGAATATTGAGAACTGAATAATAACAAAATACACTATATTTTAGGCCTGTGTGGTACAGTGAAATATTTTGCTTTTTTGGGGTACCAGGAGTTGAACCCAGGAGCACTTGACCATTGAGCCAGACCCCCAGCCCTATTTTGTATTTAATTTAGAGACAGGGAGGTTCTCACTGAGTTGCTGAGGGCCTTGTTAAATTGCTGAGGCTGGCTTTGAACTGGCGATCCTCCTGCCTCAGGCTCCCAAGCTCCTGGGATTACAGGTGCCCGCCACTAGGGAATATTTTGATGAATATGTATAGCTTTGGGTGCTTAGACTGGGGGAGAGTTTGTAGATAGATTAGTAATATATTTACTGACCAAATGATAACCAGATAACTGACTTTCAGGGATGGTCAACAATATAATGCTGCTTGTGTCAGCCTGTTAACTTCTTAGTGATGATATAAACACTGGGCATTTGCCCTTTAAATATGTAAGCTTTGTGAGCAAAGGATTATTATTGGTTTTTGCATTGCTGAGGATTGAACCCAGGGTCTGGAGCATGCTAGACCAGCACTCTACCACTGAGCTCTGTCCCCAATTTCTTCTTTTATCCATTGCTTCACTCTCAGCCTCTAGAATAGTGCCTAGAACATAGAATGTACTCAGTAACTATTGTCAAATAAATAAATCTAACCAAAATTATGATGTAACTACATCAGAAGGCTGTTGTGACAGAAAATGTACACATGGATGGTGGTAGTGGGATGAAAGAATAAAATCTTTTTTTTAATTTCCAGAATAAGCAGAATAAGACAGACATTATACCCTGTATACATGTATTACACTACTGGTGTGACTTGCACCCTGTATAGCCCGAGGAATGAGAAGACGTGCTCCATTTGTGTACAATGTGTCAAAATGCATTCTACTGTCATATAGAACTAATTAGAACAAATTTTTTAAAAAAATGGAAGGGAGATCAGGAGAATAGAATAAGGGGATCAGGGGGAGGGAGAGGTGGGAAAGAGGAGATATTGGGGAATAAAACTGATTAAAATTATACTGTTTTATTGTGTGTACATATTTATATATTATAACAAATCCCTCTGTTATGTATAATTATAATGCATCAATAAAAAGAGGGAAAAAATCAACTCTGACTCATGATACAGAAAATCTGCTTTAAAGAAAAGATCACTAGTGAACTAGAGTAGACTAGACCTTCCTTCCTGATGAAGGATTGTCTATTAAAAACCTAAAAAAATAACTGGGCAGAGTTAAGCCCTATAAGTCCCAGCTACTTAGGAGGCTGGAGCAGAAGGATTGCCTGAGCCCAGGAGTTTAAGGCCAGCTTGGACAGCAGAGCCAGACCTTGTCTCAAAAAAACAAAACAAAAAAACAAACAAAACCCTATGGCAAGGACTAGCTCAGTGGTAGAGGACTTTCCTACCAGGCTCAAGTCCCTGGTTTTCATCCCCAGCACTGTCAACAAACAAAAAAACATATATTGCTTCTATTCATTCCTATGAGAGACATAGCCAGCACAGTAAAACAAACAAAAACTGACAAATAATAGGTTACAGACATACTCAGTTCACTCCTAAGTTGGCAATGAATGAGCCAGGAGAGGAAAACACTACAAGTCAGGAAAAGGCAGGTAGAGATCAAGTGTAGCAGTGGGGAGCTAAGGTCCCCTAATTACCCCCATGTTCTGCAAATCAAAGTAGGGCCAAGAAGTGGGTGTGTGGGGGTGGCTGGGAGCTGGGAGGGTGGGAAGTTACCAGAGATAATGATGCAGTGTCACTCCCTACCACCCAGGATAGGTGCTCCCTCCTTGCCCTAAGGGACAGCTTCCTCCACAGCAAAGCCTCCACCCAGAACCTCTACATTCATCAGTACAAAAAGCTCCAGCCTTTATTAAATAAAAAGGAGGTAGAAGACAGATAAGGGTACAGGCTAGGGCTCCTTCTCCCCCTGAACACACACAGACATACAAACAGATACAACCAAGTAAATGACAGAGATGATCAGGGGACAGAACGAGGGGCAGAGGGAGGCAGCACCCTCCGTGAATGGGCCCGGACCCAAGGGTGAGCTGAGACCTGGGCCAGGGGCAGCCTTTCAGAGGGGTTATGTTTGAGCAGCTTGCAGATGAGGTCCTGGGCCCCTGCGGGCATAGAAGGAGGGAACTTGAGGTCCACCTGCAAGTGTGGAGAAAGGAAAAAGATGGCATTTGTCACCATGGTTACTTTCCTTGATTACCTACTCTATTCAGAGACTTGCGCAGGGCTGAGTACATCCATTCTGTCTACAGTCAGTCCCAGCCTCTGAAGCTGACAGAGCCCCAGGCAGCCCTCTTACCTTGACGATCCTCCGATAGGTCTCATTGTGTGAGGCACTCTCGAAGGGTGGGTTCCCCACCAGCAGCTCATAGCAGAGTATCCCGATGCACCAGAGATCTACCTTCTCATTGTGTGTGCGCCCCTCAATCATCTCTGGGGGCAGGTAGTCCAGGGTACCACACATTGTCTTCCTCCTGGGGGGATGAAGAAAGCGGGCATGAGTCTCAGGTCAGACAGACTTTCCTCTCCCTGCTGCCTGATGGCTGGGTACCAACTGTCACCCAGATGCACCAGGAGAGTGTTCCAGCCAAACCAGACAGCAACACTGGGTAGAGCTGGGTGATGAAATAAACCAAAGCACCAGAGGTTGGCCTACCCACTGCCCCTCATTGCCACACTGAGGGATGTATCCTAATAAAATAATCTGACATAAAAGCAATACTCATCTTGAAATTAAAGAAAAAATGGAGACATCTCTAATGCCCACCAAGAATGTTCTGCTTAAATAACTGAGGTTACATCTCTACTATGCAATACCATGAAATCAGGAACAATGACAATGCATAGTCAGGCATGGTGGCGCAGGACTGCAATCCCACTGATTCAGGAGGCTAAGGTAGGAGGATGGGAAATTCAAGGCCAGACTTGACAATTTAGCAAGGTCCTGAGCAACTGAGTGAGATTCTACCTCAAAATAAAAAATAAAAAGGACTGGAAATGTAGCTCAGTAGTAAGTTGCTTGCCTAGCATTTGTAAGGCCCTAAAAAATGTTTGAGAATTTTCTCAGTGATATGGCAAAAGGGTCCCAATATATCAAGTAGAAAACCTTTGTCATGGGGACAACCAAACTGTTTGAGTCTGTTATGTGAGGACAAATCCCAACATCTGGGTAATAAGATTTGAAGGGGTTTTATGTAGAATGCTGCAGCCTTATGTCAGGGCTCCCCCAACCCTTGCCCCAGCCATCATACCTCAGAGAGGGAGCATGCACCGACCAGCCAAAGTCCGCAATCTTCAGCTCACCTTGGAGCCCTAAAAGCAGATTTTCTGGCTTTATATCTCTGTGAATCACCTTTTTCCCATGGCAGTATATCAGAGCATCCGCCAACTCCTCCATGATCTGAGAGGGTCAACAACAGGCAGTTAGGCCTCCAGCTATAAGCCACATATCCCCAGCCTCCAAACCCCTGGCTGGAGACGCAGGTGCCCACCCGCCCCGACCGTGGCTGTTCGTTGCTCATCAAAAGTGCGGCACTTCTGTAGCTCCTTGTAGAGCTCTCCCCGGGGGGCATACTCCAGAATCAAGTAGATCCTCCTCCGATCATAAAAATAGTTGTAGAGCCGCAAGATGTTGGGATGCCTGCGAGAAGAGAACCGGTAAGAAGACAGGACCCAATGGGTTGAACTAGGGTCACACATGGACCAGGGATAGGAGTAGATAGGGGGAGCTGGGATAGCTGACCCACACTGAGAACTAAAGGGGGCTCACTGGTCACAGCTAAGAGACAGCAATCTGGGGTAAGGGCACAAATGGGGTTAGGTTCCTAGGTGGGAACATACTGCAGATGGGCCTGGATTTCGATCTCCCTGCGCAGCTGGTGTTCCACACCTTCCTTCTCGATCTGGGACTTGAAGAGGACCTTGAGTGCCACAATGAAATGACTTTTCTTCTCTCGAGCCAAGTACACATTCCCAAATTTGCCTTTGCCCAGAGGACGCCCAATCTCAAAGTCGTTGATTGTGAGGGGCTGTCTATGAGAAAGTGGGGGGGCAGGCAGCTCAGTGCTCACTTGTCTACCCTCTAAGGTGTATGCTTTCCCTCCCTCCCTCAACCCCATTCTCTTCATCACTACTCCCCCAGCCTTTAGGTTTTACTTCCCCCATTTCCTGCCTCTTCACCATCTCATCCCACCCTCCACCCCCAGGCTTGAGAACTTACCTGGAGTTGCGCACGCCAATGCTATTTTCTCTCACCTTCTGGCCATGGGCAGCTAAGGAGAGAGCAGGTAAGTTGAGGCCCTCTTTTCATATTCTCACCCCTAAACCCTCTCAGATCTAGCCCCTGTGGTCAATCTTCTTCCCCTTTTCCCAGTTACCTGTGGGCAGGCCATTGGGGCGACTCATGAGGACAAGTGCAGATGGGGTGGCAGGCTCCTTCCGGAGGACCCTCTGGGGTAGGGTGTTCAGGCCCGATTGAGACTGAGAAGGAGCAGGGGTAGCTCTGAGGATGCCTTTGTCCTGGAGACCAGGCTGGAATGTGCTGCAAGCAGCATTTCATCTACTTGCTAAACAGCCACCCACCCTTCCACCCCTAGTTCAAAGAAAAACACTGATAACTACAATCTGGCTCCGTAGTTTCAAGATTCTATTTATTGCTGCACATTAAAATGGGTTACTAAGGCACTAGACTCATAGCACAGTGGTAGAGCACTTACCTAGCATGTGTAAGGCACTGGGTTTGATTCTCAGCACCACATATAAATATTGATTGAAAACTAACTAATTAAATAAATATAAATAAATAAGTAAAATGGGTTACTAATAAACAATCTAAGATTAACATCAAACATTTCACCTTTTTGGTTTTGGTCCACATTACTTTCTGAAGCACAAAACTGTCCAACCTGTATAGTCCTGTCTGTATCATCATACTCATTCACCCAGCCTCCAATCCCATGGGACAGCAGAGGGCGGGGTCAATGAACATCCACAATTCAATGAATTTAACACAGAGGCTTTCTCAAAGTCCTTTAAAAAGCTCAGACCATTAAGGCTTGAATAAGGTCCTTGAAGACTTGAATGTTGCAGCAAACATCAGTATGTAATTCTCTACAATAGGCTTTAGAGACACCATGGTCTATTCCAATGGCCTTGGACCACTTCTTCACTTTTAACTTGTCAGAGACACACTTTCTTTTGGGAATGACTAAGGCAAAAGTGACAATGGTTTCTCTTTCAGACTCCACTCTTGTGAGCCTTACTTTGTATCCCATGAGGGAATAAGCAGGTGGCAAGGGAACACATGGACTCTCTAGGATGCCAAGTTCCAACACCAGGGAGCAAAGCCTGTGCAGGACTCTTTCCTTCTTCAGCCAAGAGAAGAAAGTCTCCAGTGACCCTAAAAGTCTGTTCCCAGTGATATTAGTATAGATTGACAAATAACCAAGCTGATAGTTGGTTATCAACTATCAGCTTGGTTATTTGTCAATCTGTACTATACACAATATAGTCCAGAAATAGACTATTTTCACATCTACGTGGAAATATTATATGACATTTCAAATCAAAGGGTAAGCAAGATTTGGTTGTATGCACACCTCTAATCCCAGTGACTTAGAAGGCTATACCTGTAGGATCACAAGTTCAAGGCCAGACTCAGCAAGTTAGTGAGACTCTGTTTGTCTCAAAATTAAAGGGGCAGGGGGGAATTACCCTAAGTACATGTATGAAGACACAAATGGTGTGATTCTACTTTGCGTACAACCAGAGACATGAAAAATTGTGTACTACAAACTGAAATGCATTCTGCTGTCATATATAACAAAAAATAAAAAGGGCTGGGGAAGTAGCTCAGTGGTATAAAGTCCTCTTATGTTTCATTTTTGGTATCAAAAACAAACAAACAAAAAATAAAATCAGAGGGTAGACTCTTCAATGAAAGATGTTTGGATAACTGAAAAATAAATCTATTTGGATCCTTACTTCATACCTATCATTAAAGCAAATTCAAGGGCTGGGGAAGTAGTTCAGTGATAGAGTGCTTTCCTAGCATACACTGAGGCATGGGTTCAATCACAACCATTGAAAATAAATTCCAAAGGATTATTTTTAGACTGGACATTTTAAACAATAACTTTATCTATGTTCTTCCAGAATCAATTCTCTGCCCAGTTTATTTTTTCAGGATGATGACGGGGAATCATGGCCCGCAGACCAAACCTTGCCTGTTCAGGCCCAGATATAATTTTCCTGTGACAAGTAGGCTCAGCTCTACAAAAATCCTCAAGGGGTGAGAGAGTCACTATTGAAGTTGACAACATTTGGCTGGCAAATGACCAGATCAGTTCCTGCATGCAGCAAACTCTTGGGGCTCATAGGTAGGAGCGCAACAGGGAAGAAAAGGGCTTAGAGGATCGTCCTCTGCAGGACTCGAACTCTCCAAGTAGGAACTCTCCTAGCCCGGAGTGTGAATGGGGGGTGGGGAAGTGGCCGGAAAGGTGGAAAGGGCCTTACCGTCTGCCGGCCGTAAGGCCAGGGGTAGGCATTCTCCTTCTGGGCCATCCTTAGAAAGTAGGAGGAGAGCTGGGTGGAGAAGGGAAAACAGAGCTGTGAAAAGCAGAGAAAAGAGTGAGAGAGGAAAAGAGAGAGGTCGGACCGATCTAACCGGAAATGCTAGCCTGGGCTGGAGGAAGGGAGGTCTGCCTTTAGGCTTCTGGGCTCCGCTCTCAGCGCCCGCGCCCTGCTCGCTGTCCCACCCACTTTCCGGACCCTCTCTCTATCCTTGAACGCTCAGCAGCCTGGCCGAGTGCGCGCGGGCCCACCAACGGACCGCCTGATCTGCCTCATCACCTGCCCTCTCCCAGCTCAGGGCCCGCGAAAGGAAAGCAGCTCACCCGGAGCCCGTGGCACAGCTACTGTCCCCGTCGTCCGCAAAAAACGACTGAATCTGCCTGGTCGCAGCTTTGCCGAGGCACTTTCAAATCTCCCGCCCCGGCCCCATTGGCTACGTCCGTCCTGTGACGTAGGCGTGAGCAGCCAATGAGCGAGCTACCGCGCGCTGGGTTCGAGTTTAGCAAAGTTTCCCGAGACGTCTCCCCAGACGTTTTCTTTCATTTTAAAAATTTTAAATACGACCGGGATTTACCTTTCTGTAGGAACTAGAGTCTTTGTTTTCTATCAGATGGAGAGAGCCAATTATGCCAACGCCATTGGTTAAAACAAACTACCCTATTCCCAATAGTTTGAAATGCTGCCCTTAATAATAAAAATCATCGTGTATTCAGTCGTCTCTAGTTATTTGTGGGTGATTGGTTCCTGGACACCAAAAACACACACGCTGCCTAGACATCCTTGTATAAAATGGCGTCATATTTGCATAGAACCTACACATTCTGAAGTCTAGGTTAAATCATCTCCAGATTACTTAAGAAACCTAATACAATATAAATGCTGTGTCAATAGTTGTAATACTATATTGGTTAGGGAATAATGATGCAAAAAGTCTGTACATATTCAGTATAGATTTTTTTTTCTTTTGGATCCACAATTGGTTTGAGTCCTGGATGCAGAACCTATGGTTATTTGAGTATCAATTGTTCTTGACTCTATTTCTGGGCTCTCTCACTGTCCCTTTGTGTGTTTGTTTATTCTTATGGATTTACTATTTTGATCTAATAAGTCCTTTATGTTCCTAGGAGGAATTTTCCACCAGTGGATCTTTCTCTGTTGGTCCTCAGATACCTGGCATGTTGCTTGGGTCTATTTTCATTTTCATTGCTTCTTGCCTCGCTTTTTTTTTCCCCCCTCAGCTCCCCACCCTTTTCTCACCCTCAAATTTCATTCATGGGTTAAATTAAAACATATTAGCTCTGGCTGGGTGGTGCATAACTGTAATCCCAGTGACTCTGGAGGGTGAGGTAGGAGGATTGCAAGCTCAAGGCCAGTCTCAGCATTTAGTGAGGCCCTAAGCAATTTATTGAGACCCTGTCTCAAAATAAAAAGGGCTGAGGATATGGTTCAGTGGTACAGGCCCTTGGGTTCAATCTCGGCTACAAAAAGAAAAAAACAAAACAGGGCCTTCTATGAAATAATACCTAGTGTATATTTGTATGCCCTATCTAGCAGCCTTCCCTTTTTTTTCCTCTCCTGGAGGAACCACCTGCCTCCCCATTCTGTGTAGTGTAGTTGTACTGTGTGTCTGTAATCTGAACAAGGTTAGAGACCTGGATTGGCCTTTTTTGTACTCAAGAATTCTCTTAACACTTCCCTTATTTGCAAGATAGGGTATTTTCCTTATTTTTATTTATTTATTTAGGTACTGGAAATTGAACCCAGGGGCACTTTATCACAGATCTACATCTCCAGCTCTATTTCTTAATAATATTTTTTATTAATTATTGACGGACCTTTATTTATTTATTTATATATATATATAGTGCTGAGACTTGAACCCAGTGCCTCGCACATGCTAGGCAAGCACTCTACCACTGAGCCACAACCATAGCCCTTCTATTTCTTATTTTGGGACAATGTTTCACGAAACTGCTTAGGGTGTAGCTGAATTGCTGAGGTTGGCCTTGAACTTGCCAACCTCCTGCCTAGCTTCTCGAATTGCTTGGCCTGTGCCACCATGCCTGGTTGTTCCTTTTATTATGAAAAGCAGATTTTGAGAAGCACTCAATAGATTCCTTGTTGGTGAGAATTGTGTCACAAGACTGCTGCAAAGGAGGCTGGTAAAGTCAGCATCTCTCCCAGCTGCTAGGGTGAAAGTGTAACAGTGGTCCACTTTACCATTTGAATATAGCCCTCCTTGCTCTGAGGTTTCTTTTTAAAAAGACGTTCTTCTCCCTATCCCTAACAAGATTAGGGAGAAAGTGTTTTCTTTTCTTCCCCTAATTAATTGTCCTTGAACTCATCCACCACAGGAAGAAGATATCTGCCAGAGGATCTAAGAAGTGAATTTCAACACACCTTCAGAGTGCACCTGGGACCCCCTGTCAGGGCACACTTGGAATGCAGCCTTTGAAGAGCTTCTTTAAAAGCCCTCTGTTTCCCTGATGGGCAGAATCACAGCCTCAGGGACAAGAATCCCCTGTGTTTCTCTTTTGCTAGCAAAGCAATAAAACTTCTTTTCCCTTTTCTCTGTCCTCATTATTAAATTGGCCTGAATTGGCACTGAGGACAAGGATCAAGCTTGTCCTCAAAAAAGCAAGGGGAAGCTGGTAGAAATAAGTGTATGCCTCAATTGCCTACAGGTTTGTTCTAGGGAGCCCAAGATTAATTTGAAAAGTCAGAGATCTGTGTATGATGAAGCATTTCCAAAGAGTTGATGATCAAGGCCATCATTACTGCCATTTGTGAAACACCATTTCACTACTGAAGGTACACACTCTTTTTACTTAGGGTCAGCTCAACCTCACTTCCCAAGATCAGGGACTCTATTTTTATTGCAACTCTTTTACCAACTCATTAGGCATAAAGAGACCAGCTAAGGAAGCATTTTTTATAAAAGTTCTATTACTTGGAGTATACTGTATTCCTCATGACCTACTTTAGGAAGACATTTGTTAAACCTGTCAGGGGACAGATTACAGAGGTGGATTATGCCTGATAGATCCAATACAGTATCTCTAGATCCAATACAGTATCTCTATCCCCTGGAATCTTTAAATTTCTACTTGCACATTATATTAGAACAGTTTGGGGCCTTTCAGGAATGTTTGTGGGCCAGCATAGGATTGAGATTTGCATCTTTCATAAATCAATTTCCCACCTGTCTGCCCAAATTAATGAATAAAACCTGTTATCTACCTCAGTGCTTCTCAAATGATTTGTGGAGGAGGACCAGTCTTGATTATTTTCAATTTCTCACAAGTCAATACTTTCATAAAATATAATACATATATATGCCTTGGAAAGTTAAATCTGAAACAACATAAAAATTACAAGCCCACTCTGGGGATATGGCTCAGTTGGTAGACTGCTTGTCTTACATGCATAAGGCCCTGGGTTCAATCCTTGCACCACCACCACCCCCCAAAAAATTCATAAGCCCATATAAAAAAAGGACATATAAAAAAGTGCTCTGACAGATGCTATAAGAGTTTCTAAATGCTTACTTTAAATTCTATACTTGTCCTGGATGAGGAAAAAAAGAAAAAAGTAGCACCAGTCTGTGGACCACACTTGGAATATATACCTATCTATCACCACAGCAATAAATACAAGTCTGTTTAAAATTGTGTTCTGTTCTCCTTGGTCAGGAACACTTGAAATCCATTTTCCTGCAAATATGTTACCATTTTGTTCTTAAAAAAACAAAACAAACAAACAAACAAACAACAACAACAACAACAAAAACTTCACCAGTTTCTGATGATATAAAGTAGCAATTTCCTCTTGGTGTAACTTTTGTTTTTCCTCTTGATTTTCATCTCTTGGATCATGTTAGATGTGGGATGGATTCTACTGTCCAAGAAGCAATGAAAGGTTGTGATGAGGGGGGATGTCATTGTTCTTCTGTCAGGGGGCTGATCTTTCACATGAGTAGGAAGGGTCAGCACTGTTTCATGTTCCAAAGGACAGGGCAGGATGTCTAGATTACTACAATGTTTGGAAAGCCAGGATGTCAGTTTCTTTCATTTATTTATTAAGAAACAGGATCTCTCTGTTGGCCAGGCTCATGTGATCCTTCTGCCTTTGCCTCCTGAGTAGCTGGCACTATAGTTGTGTGCCAACATGCTTGGCAGTTCAGTTCCCTTTCCTTCCTTCCTTCCTTCCTTCCTTCCTTCCTCCCTCCTTCCCTTCCATTTTTGTTCCAGGGATTGAACCCAGGGGCGTTTAATCACTGAACCACATCCCCACATCATAGCCCTTTTTATTTTGAGACAGTGTCTCACTAAATTGCTGGCTTCCCTAAATTGCTGAGACTGGCTTTGAACTTACAATTCTCCTTCCTCAGCCTCCCAAACCTCTGATATTACAGGCATGCACCACTGTGCCTGGCAAGTTTCTTTTATTTCTGATGATATTCCAATAAAAAATGTGAAGATATGAATTTTCATCATCAACCAACAAACCCCCTGCCAGAAATTAAAGATAGGCTCAGAAGGTTTTGGAAGGTTCTTGCTGAGGAAGTCTGTCGATGCCCCTAGGTCTTTCCACTAAGTTTTCCTTTTCAGGATAGCTGAGGCAACGCTGTGGAATTAGTGGGGTATCCTTGTCCTCTCCAGACTCACTTGAGCATCCTTACGTCAAAGGACATCACTATCTTAGTTTGCTCTTGGCTATCATAGCCCAGGCGTCTGTCTTTGGTGAAAACCACAGGCCTGAACCAAACAAGTTCCAGCCACCATGACAGAGAACTGAGACCATGTCCAGGTCCAGACCATAGGACATTTATGCATCATCCCAGGATGAATCAGTCAGCCAGAAGGTGTCCCTTCCCAGGTGACTGAACAGCAAGCCTCTATACTACACCCAACACTTTTTAACCTTTTACTGTATCCTTCATATAGGAAATGGAGAGCTGGATTTATTTTCACAAACTGAACAAGCCTATGTAATCAACACCCAGATAAACAAATGGAGGCCCCAGAAGGCCCACTCATTCTCCTTTCCTTCCCCCTACCCACTTTTTCCAAAAGCAACCATATCCTATCTGGGTGTGGTGGTGCACACCTGGAATCCTAGCAATTCTGGAGGCTGAGGCAGGACTATCCTAATTGGCCAGCCTCAGCAAATTAGGGAGTCCCTGTCTCAAAATAAAATAAAAAAGCCTGGGGATGTAGCTCTGTGGTGGAAAGCCCCTGAATCAATATCAAGTACTGAAAAAAAAAAAAGAAAAAAAGAAAAGAAAAAGAAAGAAAAGAAAAAAAGTAATCATATCCTGACTTCTAAATCCATATGCCAGTTTTGTTTGCTTTGTACTTTATGCAAATGAATCAGACATATATTCTGTGTCTTCTTTCATTCAACATTATTGTTTTAG